GATTTTTAATTAAATAATTATAATTAATTTAATTAATTATAATTAATTTCAATTAGAATTAATTTCAATTAATTATAATTTATAATAAATTATTATTAATTAATGCTAATTAATTATAATTTATTAAAATTAATTAATATCAATTAGTTATAATTAATTATAAATTAATTATGACTTATGATTTTAATTAATTATAATTAATTATGACTTATGATTTTAATTAATTTTAATAAAATTGAATTAATTCTGTTAATTAATTATAAATTAATTGTAATATATATATATAAGGAAGAAAAGGAATGCCCTCCTATTGCCTTGATCCACGTGCCACGAGCCTCCACCGTCGGTCCACCTACGCGAAGGTATAATCCCTAAACCTAAATCCCGCTTTCGAGGTTTGCGACGAGCTGGCAAAACCCCTACTCGCTCACATAGAGTAGTAGGGAGAGAAACCGGCACGGCGCTTGCGACGAGGTGGGTAATCCCCGGACTGCTCATGTAGCGTGAGGGGGACAAAATTAAGTACCCACACATAGGGCAAACCTTTGCTCTTTTCAACAGATGCCCAAGACCCTTAAACGCTCATGTAGCGGGCGGGGATAGAAGAACTTGTGGCCGCAGTGTCATTAGGCACCTACCCAAAGCGCTTAAGTAGCGACGAGGGGAAGGCTAGTCTCTCGGATTTTCTCCTAAACGGGGGAGATGTCAAGAGACTGCCGAAATTTTATCTGAAGTGCACAAGGACTTGGACAATAACAGGGGACATTATTTGGACTTGGACTTGTAAATTAAATAAACCTAAATGAACTTAAACTTAAATGAATTTGAATAATATAAGAGAACTTGATCGAATTCAAAGAACAACATAAGATTTGGACTTGATTGAGCAATAATAGACTTGTGGACTTGAAACTTGAACCGGATGACACAAAAGACCACATTTAAGCTCGAATGAATGAATGCAAGGAGCTTAAAATTGAATGACTTGAACTTGAATGCAAACAAAACGAAAAAGAAGTTTAAACTCAAATGAACTATAGGGGACTCGTGGAAGAGGATATTCGAACATGATTAACATGCAAGCAAGAGTCATGTGGGAAATGCGATGAAGTATTTATAACTAATAATGCAAAACTTTCATTGGAAATCAAGAGAGCATCACTTTAATTGGATGGAAAATATTGATGGCTAATAGTGTCGAGCTCAATGTACATGTCCAACCCATCTCGCAAGCATAATTTGAATGTGATTTGAAATGATGAGGACCACACTTGGACTTGAATCCAACAAGGCAATGAAGAACTCAAGCTTAACCGAACCGAACCAAGTGTAATGGGCATGAGCTCGAGCTTAATCAAATGATGATGATTGGTTGCCTTCCATCATAGGGAAGCATAAAAAAATAAAAAATAATTATAGCATTCAAAAAAAAAAAACAAAACAAAAAACTGAAATTTGCATGCATCAGATATTAAGTATATACTTAAAAAAAAAAAAAAGGATGACGTTAAATATGATTTTATGTTGTTTTATAAATAACGGTCAGTTTGATTCAATTATGATTTCAATGTTGTAAGTTTATAATCATGCAATTTACCTGTTATTTATTGTGCATAACTTATTGAGCCTTATAGCTCACCAATTATTTTATACCGGTTGTTGTTACAGGAAAAGGAAAGGAAAAACTTAAAGCAAAATATGTTCAAGTTTATTTCAATTTATGTTCTTCTATTTAGTATTATTTGTGAATCTATATTTGAGGTATGTAGATTATTCAGTGTTGTATTATCTTTTGGTTTATCTTTGTGGCTCTGTACATATTATGTGATGCAATTTGGATTAATTAGATGCTTCTGTGTATTTAATAAATGTAATCGACTGGTGATTATTTTATTAAACAACGACATTGATGAGGAAATAATAAAGATAAAGATTGAATGTTATATTCATTTATGTGGCACTCTATATTATTGTTAAAGGGTATCGTGGGGTATTACAATTGTATTCACATCCAATCCTGAAGTTTGGGAAAAAAGAGAGCATAATTTTTACACCAAAATGCTCCCCCCCTAAAAGTCGATGACTATTCATAGCTTGTCACTAATCAGCATATTTTTAAGCCATGAAATCTAGTCAATTAATTATAAGTCTCACAATGAAAGAACACATCTGAGTCCTTTCATTCAAATTAGAAGTTTACGATATTTTTTTTAATAGAAAGGAAATATACGAGTATAATCAAACGCATTCTCCATTGTTTATCTTATCCTAGAAAAGAGATGCACAGAATATACAAAATTCAAGATTAGCATCTTTCATAAATAAATTGGTAGATATGTGGATAGATAATACCAAATCAAATATGGCATGAAACACACCTGACCAAGACTAGCAGCTGCTATGGGTCGATCTTCAAAGTTCCTGAATAATATATTAACTGGTAAACCCAACTCATTTTCTATGAATGCTTTGGCCTTTTTAGGTGAGAATGCTGGCACCCTATCCTGCATCATAGAGGTGAAAACAGAGCTAACAAATAAAAAAGAAATTCTTCAAAGGTTAGAGAACATAGAACTTGTTGTGTGCACATAAAAGTGTACAAACGAAATTTGAGATTGAAATGGAAAGGTTAAAGATTAATCCAAAATTATAAACCAATGAAAGTAAAGAAAAATAATGGAAATTTTAAAGTTTCGTAAATCTACTTTCTTCAATAAAATTAAAAATTAAAACTCTACACATGCTTTGAGCAGGTTAATTCAAAAGATTTTATTTAATCACAAATTTATACTAGTTAAGCATATAGCCCCAGTTAAAAAGGAGGTAGCAAAAAATACCTGCAACTTGGCAAGCTCATCAACAAACTCTTTAGGGAACAAATCAGATCTTGTCGAGGATAACTGGCCTAGCTTGATAAAAGTTGGCCCAAGGTTCAAAACTCTTTCTCTACACCATGAAGCTGTTATTTGGCGCCTTTTTTTCTGCATGATGGAAATGCTGCTTAAAGCCCTATAAAAGTTTGAAACAAACAGAACAAAATGGCGTATCAAATCTAAAAAGAAAATAACAATTGATGACAGAAATTACATAAATTGCAAAATCATCGGTTAATAACTTAATAACTGGATCAAGCTCGGCTGGCACTAAAAAAATAGATGAAAAAAAGGCAATACAATGTGAGGTATTAAAAATTAATCAAACAATAATTCCCTTCAAAGACAGAATTCTAGTCAATGAACTATAAAAAAGTTTAACAAAGAGGACTTGTATCACAAGACCATAATAAGAATTATGTGCATCACGACACATAATAAGAACTCCGTGCATCACAACAAATTATGATATTCTTCTCTTTTATGGCTTTAGACCGATGGGTGTTGTATTAACAAGATCTTTGTGCTTATTAATAATATTCAATTTGTTGATAATGTTCTTCACTTCTCTTTTATGGATCTGTTGATATTCAAGTTTGTGCTAATATTCAATTTGTTTAATTAAAACACGTTATCCACTATTTTGGTAAATTTAATGGTATTAAGATTAAGTTATCTAATTCTTTCCTTCTATATATTGGGAGAAAGTTATGTGAAGCTGGCTACCTTGCCAATATTTAGGGTTATGTGGCCATTCCGCTTGGCTCCAAAGCCATTCAAAAATATTTTGGAATATTGACATTGAAATAATCCAAAACAAACTATCTAGTTGAAGGGGTAGGCTACTTTCTAGATTGCAAAGTCTTCTCTCAACTTGCTCCTAATTAAGGTTGGGGTTCCTAATTGCAGGGTAATATAGATCATGTCACTCTTAATTCTTCTAGAGATTCTCGTAATTGGGTGCTTAAAAAGGGAGGGAGCTTCAAAGTGAAATCCTTTTATTACTTCAATGGTGGAATTACTACTACTAATTATATAAGAATTTGGAAGTTTATTTCACCTCTTAATGTCTCTAACTTACTTGGATTATTTTCCTCAAGAGAATCGAGCAAATATTTCTTATTCAAATTGAATTTGATTCCCTCTAAAGTTTGGTAAATTTGTGATCTTCATCCTGAAATAGTTTCTTATACCTTCCTCAATTGCAATATTATTCATAATATTAAACAAGACTTTTTATCATCCATGAAGCAGCAAATTGCATCACTTAAATCTTCACTTATTAGAGAGCGATCTTTGTTCATGTTGCTATCAGACATATATGGATGCTTTTCCTTTAACATTATGGACTACATAAAATGAAAAGAACCTGAGGGTCTTTCAAGGAAGATGAAACACTACGAAGGATTTTTGGTTTAACATCATCTCTCTAGCCTGCTTCTTAATCCATTCTTGCAGGAGGATACTAGTGAAAAACATCAAAGATAGAATGATAAATCCAAGCTTTCTGGATAATCATAATAAACTTTTTTATCATGTATGTTTAGATTCTTTTTTCCATTATATGGAAATTAATGTTTAGTGTGTTGTTCATATCATGGAATATCCAATTGTATCTTTTCTCGCATCCTCATCTCTGTCACACTTAACTTAGTATTATGCTTCTCTTTTAAGGGCCAACATTCGGCACCATAAAGCATTGCAGGCCTCACTACCATCTTATAGAATTTTCCCTTAAGTTTGAGGGGTACATTTCTATCACATAATAAGCCCGATGCATTCCTCCACTTCATTTGAATTCTGCTGATAATATCCCCATCTATTTCACCATCACTCTGAACAATAGATCCAAGATATCTAAAATGTGTACTCTTATTAATGACTTGATCGCCCAAAGTCACAATCCCTTCAATAGGTCTATTACTACTAAAATTACACTCCATATATTCTGTTTTAGATCTACTCAAGCGAAAACCTTTAGACTCTAAGGTTGACCTCCATAATTCAAGTTTACCTTCAACTCCCTCTCTAGTCTTGTCAACAAGAAGAATATCATCAGCAAAAAGCATACACCAAGGTACATCCTCTTGCAAATGTCTAGTGAGAACATCCATGACTAAAGCAAAAAGATATGGGCTTAAGGCTGATCCTTGATGTAACCCAACCGAAATAGGGAAATACTTGGTCAATCCACCTTGTGTTTGAACACAAGTAATAGCTCCTGCATATATATCTTTAATGATTTGAATATAAGCATTATTGACTCCTTTCTTTTCAAGAACTCTCCATAGCACTTCTCTTGGAACTTTATCATATGCTTTTTCTAAATCAATAAATATCATATGTAGATCCTCCTTATTTTCTCTATATTTCTCCATCAAACCTCCTTATTTTCTCTTTTCTCTAAATCTTTATTAATAAAAAATGCTTGGCCACCTCAAACTACCATTCTGATCATGAAACAAATAAGTAGATATACTGCTTCAATAAAATAATAAAAAGTTTACCTCATTAAGAATCAGAAAAATGCATATACTGAAAGAACTTAAAAAATACTATAAAAAACTAACTTGATTCAACTAAATAAATACATCTAGCTAGAGTTGTAATTTCACCTGCTTGCTTTCTGTAAATCCATCAAAATATGTCCATTTTGTGTTATCAAACAGAAGCCGAATGCGTAAGGAAAGAACAAAAGACCAAATGTCAATTGTCCTTTGCCAAGCATTATAGTTTTCATTTGCCCAGCTGAAATCTTCATCTGAAGGAAAAATTTTTAGCCCATCTACATAGGAGAGATCATCAGCCACTTTCGTTTTCGGTGTCTTAGCAATGTCTAATATTTCATTCCTTTTAACCAAGCTATCACCGTTTTGGACCCTTGTCGAGCCATTCACAGCAGTCCTAACACTACCTGTTCCAATTTTTTGAGTGAAAGTAGACTGGGTCTTCATCAACTTCTTCGTTGATACCATCTTGATAGGCCGGCCATTAATGCCAATCTTATCAGATTCTTGCTGCCGCTGGCTCCTCAAAAACTTTGCCTTGTGCAGGAACTTGTATGACAGTGCATCACTATTTAATAGTTGAAGATTGGAAATGGAACAAGAACAACTCAGATCCTGTAATGTCCGCCCATGTTCTGAAGGGCCCAAGTAACTACAGTAGAATCCTTGAGAGACCAGAACCGTAGCCATTAAAAAATCGGTCCTAAAATGAAAGCAAGACTGATTTGAGTCAATTATTAAAGGAAGCTGAAGAAAAACATGCGTAATATACGAACATTCAAGAATGAGCACTTCATAAAATAAATTAAAAAAACAAAAATTCGTCCAAGCTTGTAAGTTCAAAATAGACTGAACAATTAAAATAGTAAAGGAAACCTTACATTAGACCATCCTAGCGTCCTACAAACCAAAAAAAAAAATCATACTTGCATCACACTACTTCATAGTACATTCGCAAAAGACAAAGATCCCAATGCCTGCAACAAGTTAAGCATCCCAACAACTTAAAAATTTGGCATACTCACTACCATAAAACGTCTAAATTTACCCCAACCCCATCAGAAAAAACACATATCCACTCGATAAAAGGTTTCGTATGTCTTCCACTAGCTCCTTCAGCTAAACCAAGAAACGAAAATTAACTAATATATGTCAGACATAATTCTCCAAACTGCGTAAAATTTGATAGCCGCGTTAATGAGAGGGGCAATCATAATTCTTCATCTATCGCGCAAGCGCTAACAACCAAGAAGAATGAGGCCGGAACGAATACCAGTTTTTTGTTACCTTCAAGAGTCAGAGATATCGGTGAAAGAGAGGTTAAGGGGATCGAGCACTATGAGCTCGATGAAAAAAAGGAACTTTAGGGTTTGCGTGAAGAAGGGCACGAAAAAACAACAAAGAGACGTGAGAAGGTTGGAGAAGGAATATAAAACACACGCAGAAACTCAAAATTTGCGAACGGAGACGATTGGTATTCCATGTGAGCGACCTCGTGCTTGCGCGCCACAACGTGCTCCACAAGCTTAGGAGTTAGGAAGCTTAGGAGTTATAGGAAGTTGGCCGTTTTGGCTTTTCATGAGGAGGAGATTTGTTTGAAGCAAAAGGGTGTGTATGAAGCTGCCTTAGTCTTGTGGTTGTTTAGGCTAAATTATTATGTGCGGTCATCAGATTTAGTTCAGAGGTCAATTAAAGATGTCACTTCAATTTACTATATATCATTATTATATACCGTTATGTATCGAGTGACGTGACGCATTTTGATTGGCCTCCGGACTGTCCGGAGATCACATATAATAATTTCTCGTTGGTTAGTGCTTTGGCTATTAATTAAGAAGTTTTGGATTTAAGTAATGTGTATATGATATGTGTGGGAGTCCGGGCTCTTTTTCTTCAAAAAAAAAAAAAGGTGTAGATAAAGTGCACTAATTTTGAATGATTTTTGAAATATTAGAATTTGATTTGAAGTACTACCAATTTGACTAAAATTTTAAAGCATTTAAATATAAGTTTGGCATGTTTTTTAAAATTATTAGATTTGACTGATTTTCAAATATAATGCGCATTCTCAGCTACTGATATCGTCATGGCCACCCGAAGTTGATTATCTCTTCTTGTCGTCATCATCAAACCTCGTCGCCAATGTTAACCACCCTGCAGTTAACTTTAATATTTATAGTACATTTATTTCACTTTAAGCAAAAATTAAAAAAATAAAATAAAATGAATGAACTGTAAAACTGATAGTGATAATTGATGAAGGTGAGCAACATAAGTGGTGGGTAACGGGCAGATAGTAGTGGCAACTAGTGGATGATAACAATGACGGGCAACTACGGCGAGCTAACAACAACAAAAGTGCAGTTGGCTTGCATTATATTTGAAATTTAACAAAAAAATGGATAAGTTTTTTAATACATAAAACTAAACTATTGAGTGAATTTGGAATTTATCATATTTTTACTCAGCATTTCTTTTTCATCAAATCAAAACAACAAAATTCCTAAAACCCGTACATTCATAATAAGTTACACTCACTTTCATTAGGAGGGTATTTGATTGGCTTCAAAAATGCAATGTGGCATGCGGCAGTGGCTAGCGGTTGTGGTGGCGGATGGCGATGACAAGGACAATGAATTTATGGTGGAATTGGAACTCGCTCAAATCTGAGGAATTCCAAATATATCAAAATTAAACTAGATGATGAATTCAAAAAGTATCAAAAATTTATACTGCATTTTATTTACTTCAAGCCAAGCACCAGCATTCTCAAAACTCTAGCATTTGAAATATTTTACACTAATTTTACTTCAAAACAAAAAGCCCCCAAATCAAATTGCCCGTAAGCTAATTAAACAATGACTTCTATTTAGTCAAATTAAATCAATTTAAGTTAACCATTTATATTTCATTAATGGTGATTAATTTTGTAAACTAATGTATTCTTATCTAATTTATTTAATTGGATATTAATAATTAAATTTACTAATTTAATATCAGTTCTAATTACAGAAATCTAATCAATGAGCACACGATAATATTTAAATAATAAATATTTCAAAATTATAAAACTAATTTGATAAAAAAATTCTATACATTTAAATTAAATTACAAATAATGTTAATTTATCTGACTTAATATCCTTTTTCAATTAAATATTTTACATATTTTGAACTTATTTAACATATTTAAAAATTAATAAAAAATAATAATTAGCGCTATTGGATAAGTTATATTATAAATATTGAATATTGGAAATATTATTATTTTGTTGGATTCATTAAATATTTTATATCTGAATTCTTATTTTATATGACATACTTTCAAATTTAATAAAAAAATCTTATAATATTTCAAAATATTATAAATTTTCACCCAATTTTGATTTGTCATTGGAGAATTGTTCAGAGAATTTGGACTAATCATTTTCTAGATGTTTTAAGAATAGTTTGAATATATATTTTACATGGTTTAAATATATTTTCAGAGGCTATAGTAATATTTCAGCAAATTTGATAATAACAAAAAGGTTATTTAAGAGCTTAATTTGCTATATCAACTAAAAAATTTTCATGAGATACTTCCTATATTCATCCAATTCAATTCAATTAGTTCATTATTGTTAGACCATCTCCAGCCATTCGGCAAACAACTGAATGGAGGCCCTCAAACGTCGCAACAGAACATCTTTTTCTCCGGCATTTGTTTGCTGATGAACAGTGCGACGCCAATATTGGCATCGCACAGTTCACCCGCTAAATTTTTATGTGTCAACGGGATTTACACGCGAACGACGAGGGAAGCCCGCAAATTGGAGTTCGATTGGAGCAGAATTACCGCATTTTGAAGTTTTGCCGTATTTTGCTGTGAAAAATGGGGTTTTCGGTTGGAGATGCCCTTAGTAGCATCTTTTACTTGGGGGCTTCTTTGATTTGCTAAAAAAAAATGCATAGTGAAAAGAATGATGAGGAATTTAAAATAGAAGAAAAAGGAATACAATATAAAATTTTAGTAAATTTTTTTCGCTCATTATTTTTTGGTGAAATTTAAGCTCGCATAAATTTGGCCAAATTCTTTTTTCATTGTGTAGCTAACACTGACCTCCCGCCAGCCGCAACCACTATCGCTAACGCCACATGTCATGACCTTTGCAACCACCGCGCCACTAAACATCATCACTGCCATTGTCAGCTGCAACTATCATTATTATTATTGACGCAGATCAACACCATCATTTTATTTTATATTACATTCGTTTTACCTCTAACCAAATAAAAATAAAGAATTTCTTGAATTTCTTTTACTCTTATCTAAATAACTTCAACTATTTTAAATATACTATATAGTTTTGTATACTGCATTCATTTTTACATGCTTTGCATTTCTTTTTCAAAGAACCAAAAATCCACTAACTTATTTAGATTTTTATATCAAATATTTTGTTTGTTTTGAAGTTTTTTCAATATGATAATTATTGAGATTTTTTGAGTTTTTAAAAGTAAGATTAGAAGGTAAAGTCTCAATCACCTCGGTTTAGAAAACTTTGTTCTAGAAGAGTAGTGCAAAGTCTTGGTACTATTGACTTTACAGAAGCTTTTTCGACAGCTAACTAGCAAAGCTGAATTGCCTTGACCTGTAAACAAGATTTGGTTGAAATAATTTAGGATGCAAAGCAAAATAAATAGATGGGTTTTGAAAAATTTGGTGTTTGGTTAGATAAAAAATAATTTCAAGGCAAAATAAAGTAAATGCAGCGTATTCCACTTTAATTTATTTTTGAGATAAACCTTTCAAGCCCAGTTTTGAGGGGAATGGTTTACACCGCTTCAAAGCTGGCTTGACCATCGCCAACAACCACCGTCTCCACCGCCAACATGTTGCCGGCCACCACCTGCCACCGTTACCGACCACCGCAACCACCCTCGTCCACCGACATCGTCGATGCCCAACGCTGCACTCGTCTACTGCTAGTCATTGTCCCTCGCCAGTCACTTTCCACCAACCGCTAACCACTACCAGCCACCGGCCCCACCGTTGCCATTCTCAAACACTGGCCGACATTCACCTCAGGCACAATCATTTTATACTTTACATGCATTCACTTTATTTTAAACCAAACAAAAAAAGCACACTCATCCAAATAACTCCAATATATTCCTTTTACACTGCATTATTTTTCAAGTAATCAAACAATCCCTAAAGGACCATCTCAACCCAGTAAAGAAATATCTTGTGGTAGAAAAATCAGACAATAGAATCTTCTACGTGTAAGTCTTGGCATGACTTTCTTTGTGTATCCAAATCAGTAAATTGATGTAATTTGGCTGTGTAGGATTGCAAAAACAAATTACTCTGGTTTTAAATTGCAAAATATGGATTCAATCCATGCCATTCAAATCGGATTGGATGGTTGGGATGCTCCAACAACATCTTTTCTATATATTTATCATTATAAATGTATGGAAATATGGGAGTAGATAGATGTCTCTCAGGCTTTTTCATTTTCCTTACTGATGAGTGATGAGGTAAACGGATTCCCACATCATGAATTTATCAACATAAGCAGTCAATACACATACATTAAGGTTTAGGGTTTAGGAAAGTTTACAGAGCTGAGAAAATTCTGTGAGGAATTTAAAGAGAAACAATTCTATGCAAAGATTTCCACACCACGAATGAATTTGATCATAATCAGGCTTCGTTTGAGACAGTTTTCGCACTGCTTCCTAAAATAGCTTTCTAGTATAAAATTTTCTAGCTGTTTTAGAAAGCAACAGAAAAATTATCCCAAGTAATACTTTGCAGCAAAACAATGCTCGTTAGAAACTGCAGGCTTCCACTACCGTTTCCAATTTAAAAGCAGGGCTGCTTTTTTAATTTCTAATGAATATGTGGCTTAGGCTTCATTTGAGACGATTTTCTTACTGCTTCTTAAAACAACTTTAAGAATTAACTATGAACGAGTTACAACAGGCATAATCGGGTGCAAGAAGCGGCGACCGGGATTTTCAGTCTGCCTTTTGATGTGGATAATCCAAGATCCACCTGGCCACAAATGACACTTCGAGATCAACGTTACCCTCGGGTTCTTTGCCCCAAGTTTTCTTGCAATTTAGGATTCGTTTGGGAAGGCTTTCTTACTATTTCTTAAAGCATTTTTTTAGTACAAAAAAATTAATTTTTTACTAAAAAAACTGCTTTAAGTAATAAGAAAATCATCCCAAACGAAACCTTAGAGTTTCTTCCGATTAAAACAGTAAACTGTCTAATTGCTTTCCCTCACAAAACAGGAAACCGCCTTGTCCTCTTTCCCATATTAATGATCCAGCATATTGTTAAAGAATATTTCCTATGTTTTCTAATGGTTTTTTTTTTCTGTAGTTTTAAAATTATTTGTGTTTTCTGTTGAGTTTCAAACTATGTGGAAGTTGTGATAGTTCAATAAATCTGTCCAAAACTGTCTGTAATTTCTTGTTTGGTGTCATTCTTAGTATTATCACACCTCCATCTTAACATTCTCATTGTTGCTAAAGCAAAATAAGCTATCAATGTCCTTTTTTTTTACTTACTACCCAACAATAGAATTCATCAATTCATATAGCAAAGCTTGCATATTACAGTTTTTTAAAATTTAAACTTAAATCTCTATGATATCTTCTTATTACATACTACTCCCAAGTAGTGTTTTCAAAACACTAAGCGCAATGTGATATACAATGGCCTCTTTTTACTTCAAAATGCTCGATGCATTTACTAATTTAGGCTTTGGTTAGGATAGTTTTTTTCCTACTTCTAAAAACAACTTTCTAGCACAAATATTAAATAAAAAGCTGCTTTAAGAAGCAGGAAAAAAGTCGTCACAAACAAAGCCTAAAGCGCTTATGACTTCTACTGTTAGAAAATATGATCCAATTTATTATGTTCTTTCTCTGCTGTTTTAATAAATAGGTGTAAGTAGAGTTTGATTTGTTAGGTGAATTATTTGGTTCTTATGTAGCCTCTTTAGCTACATGTCATTTACTCGGTACCGCTCGTTAACAGGTGATGTGGCGCATTCTGATTGGTCACCAGACCGTCTGATGTCCTCACAGAATAATTCCTCCTGCCTCACACCTGTGCGTGGTACTGAATTCAGGCTTCTCTATCTTACGCCCAAAGTTTAGTTTTGTTCGTTAATCGTCTAAAGACATTTCTGACTTCTAGCAGAAGCCAGAATTCAGCAGCTTCTGTTCCATTGATTCACTGTCTCGTACAGTCGTTTTTCTTCAAATAGTATTAAAGATAAGAAGCGATCAATATGAAGTCCATGCAGAAGTTTGAAATCGATAGGTTCACAGGAAAAAAACGATTTTAGTCTTTGGAGAATAAAGATGAAAGAGTTGTCCGTTCATCAAGGAATATCAGAGGACATTTCAAGGGGACTCGCAGAATTAACGGATCGGGTAAAAGCAAGGGAGATGCAGCTGAAGGCACACAGTGCAATACTGCTTTCACCTGGTGACGACGCGCGCTGCATGTAGTCGCTGAAGAAGAAATGACCATTGAGGTATGGGAGAAACTTGGGTCGCCATTCGCAGATGGATGAGTTCAACAAGATTATTCTTGATCTCAAGAATGTAGATGTGAAGATTGAGGAAGAAGAACAGAGTATTATTCATCTAAGTTCTTCGCTGAAATCCTACAAACATTTAGTGTATACATTGCTATATGATAAAGAAACATAGACCATGACCGAGGTGAAATCGGAATTGATGTCGAAGCAGATTCAACGAAGATCCGAGAACAAGGAAGAGAAGAATGGTGATATTCTAATTGCAAGAGGAAGGTCAGATTTTAGAGAAAACAAATTCAGTAAGAAGTATTGAGGTAAATCAAATCTAAATCAAATTATTGACAAGCCATCTTCTTACAAAGAAGCTGTTTCAGGCAAGGATTCACATCAGTGGATCCAAGCAAAGTCTTGGGGCATTGTGGCTAAGCCAAAAGGAAAAAAGATTATTGGTTGTAAATACTAAATAGGGGTGTCAATTTTTGACACGACCCGAACCCGACCCGGAAAAATCTAGGTTCAGGTCAACCAGGACCCGAAACGGCTCGGGTTCGGGTTCAACAAATCAACCCGTTTTAAAAACCAATTCGGATTCGGGTTGACCCAGCAACCCGAAATTGACACGAAAACTCGTATTTGACCCGAAAACTCGAGATTGACCCATTTTTTTACTCGAAAATCGAAGATTGACCCGATTTTTTACCCGAAAACTAGCAATTTTGTGTCAACCCCGGGTCATTCGTGTCGGGTAGGATTCGGGTCCGAAAAACTGCCCCGTTTTTAAAAACGGGTCAGGTTCGGGTTGACCCGAATAGTGCTGGGTCAATTCCGGATTCAACCCAAACCCGACCCGTTGACCCGAATTGACACCCCTAGTTGTAAATGGACCTTCAAGAAGGAAGATATTCAACATGATCTAAAACCAAGGTATAAAGCAAGATTGATGGCTAAAGATTTCTCACAACCTATTTGGCTGCAAGGATTCCTTAAAAGGGCTTTAGATTCACTCAAGATAAATTCACAGCATTTTGTGACAAACAAGGTGCTATACAACTAATAAAAAATCCTATTTTTCATGAAAGATCGAAACATATAGATATAAAGCTCCACTTCATAAGAGATATCAATGCAAATGGAAATGTTGAAATGGAAAAAATTCTGTCCGGAGAAAATCCATCTGCCTATAACTAAGTTCAAAATATGTTTGAGCTTAGTTAAATGCATTGATATTAAATATTTATCATAATTGGATCAAAGTGGAGATTGTTAGAAAATATGATCCAATTTATTATGTTCTTTCTCTGCTGTTTTAATAAATAGGAGTAAGTAGAGTTTGATTTGCTAGGTGAATTACTTAGTTCTTATGCTACATGTCATTTATTCAGGATTTCTGTAAATTGTATAAATACATCAGGAAAATGAATAATACGGGGTGCACAAGCTCTCCCATTTTCATGCTCAAAAGGATTGCCATTTATTTTGTATTTGTTTTGAAAGCTTCTCTTGACAAGTGCGGGTGTAGGGGTGTCAATCTTTGGCCTGATCCGAAAACCCGACCCAAAAATTTCGTACAATAGTCATTTTATTAATCAAATTTAAACCATATTAGATAATAACTTCTAACAAATATAAAGATACATTCAATAATAATAATTTATAACTACATGAAAGCCATAAAAAGGGTTTAAGGTATCAAGAATGAAATGGTGAAAAAATACTTACAAATAAAGTTTACTTGTGAGATTAACAGATCAATTAGAGATCAAACAATAAAGTTAGCGAAAAAGAAGTGAGAGGCCCGAGAGCATGCATAGGATATATCTACAAGTATTCCCAATAAACTTGTGAGCAAAAAGGTACTAATAAGCACTAAGAACTAATGAGAAGTATATAAAAAAGACCAATACGCGAGAGAGTGCGAAGAAGAGAACCGCCGAGTTCAAATGAAAGAGGATGAAAAACCAACAATTGTTTTGGATAACATTTACAAGATGCCACGTTCGTTACTCACCGTTTTGATTTCACTCCAAATAACCTTGCAATAATTGTTGAGGTCAACAATGACTTATTTGTCTAATTAATTTAATTATGTAAGTTTTATACTTATTAATTAACCCTAATTAATTAAAAACTCTTTCTTCAAATTTTCCACATGAAAACCTCTTTTGATGGCCAACCCAATTAAATAATTGTTGATTAATAGTTATAAAATTTCAAGATTTATTTTACTACTAAAATCTATAAGACAATCAAGAGGTAAATAAATTATACACTTTATACACAACAAAAAAGAAGACACTTTCTTTAAATTTATTTTGCCACCAATCACATAGCTCTAAGTAATTACAGTATACTACATTGATTTTCCTTTACACTCCCAATATACATGCATTATGAGTACATGTAACCAAACCTCTTTAGTAGTGAGCCAAATCAAGTAGCACCAAACAAGGGCTTCTAGAGCATAGAAAATTAGCCCAATTAAAATGTAATTAAATTAATGGTTATCACATAAACCTTAATCAATCAAATTTCTTATCTTGATTTCACACCTGATTGACAAGTGAAGCTCAATAAATTAGCCAAATTTATCTTTGCTTAATTAATATGTCAAATTAAATTCTTATTAACCCTAATCACTCTTAATCCCTAATTTACAAGTAATCTCTACTTAACTAACCTCCTACTAACTTTCTATTATAATTTTATTACAAATATAATCAAATGCCGAATTTAAATTGAAGTTGAGAAGGAAATTGAATACTCATACATGACTTCACTGGTGTTTAGCACATGGCTACCGACTCATGACGAGGGCAATCACCCTCAAGCGGGGTTTCCTTTAGAGCATTCACCTGGGACTGTCAAAGGGACTCGCCCAACAAGATCAACAGGCTTGCACGGAGCGAATAAAAAATCCCTGGTCAAGCAAGCAAATCACCACTCACCATTATTTTAGTCACTAGCTCTCCCCCAAAGCCTTCACCTTCAAGCTCACCAAGCTTAACTACAAGAAAGTGCTTACCCAAGAGGCCCCATATATCATTCAGCTATTACTACTCTGCCTAAAGCTTTCCATTACCATAGTGTTCTTCTCACCTCTTCCCTCAAGACAGCCCAAAATCTTCTAATTAAATGCCAGGCATATCAAATCGCTCGCCAGTCACGGTTCCTCCGCACCTCAGGACTCGATCGCAAATTCACATGAACCTACACATCACCACCTAGCTCACCTGAGGAGAACTCGCCTAAGAGCCCGTTCACTTCCCCTACCTCCAACCCGTCAGAAGGCAACATGTGTCTAGATTATCATGTAGTATTGACGGGTATTCTATTTAGCTTGTCATTTTTTACTTTTTTCTCAGTGTAGAATTTACTATAGCCCTCTAAACTCTATCAATAAAGGTTGATGAGGAAATATTTGGGAGGACTCTGAGATTTTTCTTTTATTGATAGTGGATACTATGCTTATTGGAGATTGGTAGCTCATTCTCTACTCTCCCTACAGTCACCATTCTTGCAAATAGGTTCTAGCTCACCGGGTAGACATGCTAATCAAGTCAGGTATCATCCACAAATAAATTCGATGTCAACGGAAATTCTTATAATTAGAACTCACTTCTCACACCATTATTACAGCAACACACAACAAATAAATACTCAATTTGGCTCAATGACAGAATTGAGATCTAACAAAACAACCTAACATTAAATGCACATTGCATAAGCCCAGTGTTTAAAATCCAGGCCACAAAAAGCAGCTTTGTTAGAGCAAGATAATGTCTGCTACAGAAGGCTCCAAGAAGAAAAATAGATGTAACAGCCTAAATTTCATACCTACAGCTGCAATTGCAGGTGACTCAGAGCATATGATTTGACGCCTTCTCTGGAACAGCATTGTTTACTGCCATATATTTTAATTAAGCAAGATTTTATTTCAGCAGCAGTTGTATTTTCTACATGAACATTGTTAGAAAAAAGAACATGAGTAGCATTGTTAGTAAAAGAACAAAAGAACCCTCACGTTGCTTTGCTGAACAACAAAAGTTTAAGCGGTCAGGTTCTGTATTGGTTCTTACAGTATTTTAGAAGTTGCACTAGTATACCAATGGTAGCCAAGCAAACAAGTATGCAGCCATCATACTGATATTTGATCAGGTTACTAACCAATTGGAATATAATCCAAGGATTCATGTACAGATGTCCCCTGATTCTGTTCAAGTGATTCCCCTGTCGGTTCATATTTTCTAACAGCTCGCAACATTGGAACTATGCTATCAAGGAAGCTATCTACAACATTAGCCTTACTTTCATTTTTAGAGTCCAAAATCGCTTGAGCAGACAACTCAACTTCTGTTTCCTCGTTCAATTGAGCAGATTTCTTCACTTCTGCTTCCTCCTTCACATCTTGATGCATCTCTTCATGCAATGAAGGTCTTACTATTCTCCTCCTCTTACTATTCATTAGTTTTACTTCACGTCCACATACATCACCATACTTACTAGAATCATCTTGACCTTCATGCTTTTGGCTCGTGTTTCTACGCCTGAAATTATAAAAGGGAATTTCAAAACTCTCTTCAGCCACAACATCATTACTTAGGTCACCGTCCAAGGCTGAAGTGAATCCAACATGTTCTGCTTTGGTAATGCGCTCATATTGATTGATTTTACACCTGTCCACTGGTTGGGCTGGTAGCTGTGTAATCTTATTCTGATTTCCACTACGATGATCGAAGAGTCCTGTTTCCCATTCCGTTGAATGTTTGGATACCTCCATAGGACTCCACGAATTTCTCCTTGTGGAAAGGTTGTTCAAAAACTGGTCAAGAGGTAAGTCCCCAGACGGCTCATCGCTCAACGGCTCAGGAGTCTCCCGATTACAAACCTTTTGATACCGGGACAAGCGAGAAAAAACACTGGTCCTATTCAAATCAAAATCTGCATGATCAGCTTCCATGCTCTGATAAGTCTTCAGCTCATCAGAATATCCATCAGCAATATAGCCATATTTAGAAATTTCCTTACATGCACTTGGAATGCAAGAATTAAGTATTGTAGAAGGAATATATTCAGAATTATCCAAAATAGAGTTCTGAATTTCCCTGCTGACAAGCTTTTGTTGTGATTCTTCTACTAAAGGACGGTAATCAGAAAATTCAAATACCTGATTTGGCTGTGCTCTAGAAAGACAATCGTTCTGCACAACTTCAGTTTGAAAACTCAAATCATTCGTAACATGCAATGATGTGAAAGCATCGTCTTCTTGAATAATGGCCGCTCTTGGTATAATGCTGGGGTCATTACAAGAACGCTCACATGCTACAGTATCCGGGCTTGAGTGATCGGTTACACCCATCAAATATGGAGCCACCATGTTATCCAAATTGGACATATAACAAGATGAAGGTAGAGGTAAAGGTTTATATTCAATCTCTGAAATAGTTGAGGGCGGTTTTTCGATAGAGAAATGGTGCAATGCAATATGATCATAGGAAAGGCAAATTGAACACCTTTGGGAATTGAGGGTTTCGGAATGGGAGTTCTGTGGATAGGATAAAGGACACAGGTTCACTGGATTTAAACCTCTTCCAGTATTGGCGACAGGATGTTGCATGCTTGTAGAAGTAACATGTCTTGTATAGGGCATTGGGGGATCCAACGAAGCTTGAGTTAATGCAAGTTTTCTAACTTCCCTCTTTCCTTCTCTGCTATACTCTGATTTGCACTTGAAATGTGTTCCCGTTTCAATTAATCTAACCTCATCATCTGCAGCAGTGTTCTCAAACTTCTCAATGATTTTGTTGGGAATCCCATTTCGCTTATACTGCTTTATGTTAATCTTCCTTGAATAAAACAAGTGAGTCAGCTTGATAACCTGCATTTAAAAGTAACAATGGAGCCATTGTCACTTTCACATTTGCAACTGTAGTATGATATACACAATAAAAAAGGTTGAAAGGGATGGAGATAAAATTTACCTGCTCATATGACAGACCAAAGTGGAATTTGTTTGGGCTGTAGTAATTTTCTTCAATAGCACTACGAAATTCATCTTCACACAGAGGCTTGCACATCCAGATCCTCTTGAAAAGAATCTTCTCATGCATACAGCAAAGCTATTAGTAACCAAAAGAAAGAAAAATAATCTGAAGAAGGCCACACATGTTACCGACATATGTGATCCCATTTTAAGTAAATTGGTCACCTAACAGAATCTTTTTAAGTGCATAAGCTGTGTGTATTCCAGCCACAGCTTCCTAACCAACAAGGAAATACAACATAAGAGTTCATGATTTAGTTATCTAAATTGCAGACCCTTATACCTGTGCAGGATATGACTGCCCTGTTGATCTAAAGGCATCGGGTATGATGTTTAACGCACCATCAGAAGTTGCTTCAAACACCCCATAAAGTTTCCTTTCCTCGTGCTCAAAAAGAAACAAAATCATCCCAGCTTTAACTTGCTTCAAAAATTTGGACTTTGAAAGTGGAAGGCCAAAAAGCTTCCTCTGAAGACATTCAAGCTTTGTTTCACGGTTGGACATGAAAATCGCACCTGCAAAATTGGAGCCATCCTTTTCCACAAAGTTGAGCTTCCCATGTTCCATTGAGCACCTAACATGATAGAAAAAAGGAAAGAATCAACAAATCATGCAAGATACAACCAAGCACATGTCTAAACAGAGGAAAACCATCTCAAATTTAAAATCATTAATATTCCAAGCCATGCAAGCATCATATACCCACTCTTTACACAACAAGGAAAAGGACTAGCATAATCAAGTGGTCTAGCACGAAAAATAAGAAGCTTTTCTGTAGTTGTTAACAGTAAATTACTAATAAGGTTTGAAACGTTAGTTGTCTGAAAGGAAACCATACTAAAAACTTTAGTGAATCAAAAGCTAACCGCACAAGTAGAAAGTGTTAAAAGTGTGTATCGAACAGATTTATCTGGAATAAAAATGTGATTCTTCTGAACTAACTATAAATTAAGAAAGATATGCATCACCAATGGGAGCCTCAAGGCCCTCAATCCACTTGGAACAGCAACATTTTCCTATTCAATCAAGGAAAATGGGACCTTTTCTAAAGCAAAAAAAAAAACTAATTTCAATCAAAGAAAGTTAAAAAAAAGTTAAATAAATTTGATTAAAACGTTATTTAGGATAGTTTCCAAAGTGCATGATAGTGACTGAGGTTTTTTTTTTCCAATAGACATTGGCTTCAAACCTTGTCAATGCATATCTTTTTTCAAATGGCTAAAATGAGACAATTCATACATGTTGAATATTTGAAAGTCAAATTTAGTGAATTTATTTTTGGAAAGTATTTTTTGGAAAAAAAAAAGTGTTTGATTGTGATATTCTCCTATGATTCTATTTTTATTTTAGAAAAGTATTTTTAGGAATAAAATGAGAAATCAATTGTGGTCTTCTCCTATGATTTTGTTTCTTAAATTTTAGAAAAGATATATTTTTTCTATAATTTGTTTCCTAAATTTTAAGAAAGAATTAAGCTAGTTAGCTATTTTCTTTATTAGACACTCTTTTAGTATATATATGTAGATATAGTATTGTAATTATAACAAAAGGAATAATCTATGCTGCACCGATATGGATACGGCGACACGGATACGACACGATACGGATACGGGACACGTCAATTCTTAAAAATACTGGATACGGGTATGGCGCAGACACGACATTATAATTTATAAATCATACAGAAAAATTAAGAAAGCAATCAAAGCATAATATTTGAAATTACAAAAAAAATGAAACCAACATCATTTACCGCCTTGTAGCTTATAATATCAAAATAAAAGCACTAAATGTCTAATACAACAACAAAAACATAAACATAAATTGTCTAGCACATGAAGTTTCAACTATTCAATAGAAGTAATGATATGATTAGCTTCTTCAATGGTTTGTCTTTGAGTATGTGTTTTTCAAGACTTAAGATCGGGGAAGATAATTGTCAATACTGAGTCATGCTCCGAGCTCTATCCTCCCATGTGATCGATCCTCAAGCCAAGTTTCTCAAGCAAGTTGCGTCCAATCTCAGAATCTATTAGATTCTTTCAATTTTGTGTCCAATTCCAATATCAATAAAGATAGTGAAATTATATTGTTACACTATAGTCTTGATCATCCTAGCTTTGTATATCTAGTAAAATTATTTTCTAAATTATTTATCAATAAAAGCTTGCTTATTTTCATTGTGAAAATTGCCAGATTTCAAAGCATACTCAAACTATATATCCTCAAATTCCATACAAACCTTCAACTGTCTTTTCTTTGATCTATAGTCATTGATGTGAGGGGTCCCTCAACGATACAAAATATTTTTGGCACTCGATGATTTGTGACATTTGTTGATGATCATACAAGGGTAACTTGGGTTTTCTTTATGAAAGAAAAGTTTAAGGTTGGGCAAATTTTCCAAACATTCAATCTTACGGTTCAAAATGAATTCAGCTCTGAATTCAAGAACTCAAGCCAGATAATACTACGAAATACTTGATGCAATAAAAATTAAAAAAAAAATTATAAATTACCAAAATTTCTTTTCACTATAACTTAAACAACACAAATCAACTTCAAATAAAAGACAACTTTAAATATAAAACACAACACTACTTTCATCTTTCAAAAGTTTTGAGAAGAAGGATACACTTGGTAGGGAAAACCGTGGAGAGAAGAATGAGATAGGAAACCGAGACAAATTATAAGAGAGAAGGAAAAGAAAATAGCTCACAAGCTAACACAAACCAGCATGTTTCAAGCTCCAAAATTTATCACATAACTCACTTTTTTCTGCAACAAAACAGCCCCCATATATAAGTAAAAATAGAGAAAAGACATCCATAAATCTACCTAGGAAACCAGCAGTCAGCACTCCTTTTGGAGCCATCAATACATAGGAAATAGCAATGGAGGGGAATGAACAGCATGGGGAAAACAACAGCCATAAATCTTCCTAGGAAACCAGAAGTCACCTCTCCTTTTGGAGCCATCAATACATAGGAAATAGAAAGGGAAGGGAACGGACAGCAAGGGGAAAACAGGAGCCATAAATCTACCTAGGAAACCAGCAGGAAAACAACAGTCACCACTCCTTTTGGAGCCATTAATACATAGGAAATTGCAAGGGAGGGGAACGAACAGCATGGGGAAAACCAATAGGCAAGTTTTGCCTACATCAATACTTCACTAGTAATCTCAATGCCTACCTTTACAATCATGAGATTATCCACATAAGTTCTTTTATTGACACCCCTCAACAAAATAAGGTGGTTAAACACAAGAATAGACATCTCTTGAAAATTGTCCGGTGTCTTATGTTTTCCTCTAATGCTTCAAATTATTTCTCGGAAGAAGTCATTCTCACAGCTACATATTTGATCAATCGTATGTCATCCAGAGTCCTTAATTTTTAATTTTCACGTCAACTTGTTCTGAAAAAAAAAATCCTCACACCCATGCAGCTTCATCTAATTTACCACTCAAGGTATTTGGTTGCATAGCATTTATTCAGGTGTATCCTCAACACCATAACAAATTTGATCCTAGAGCCAATAAGTGTATTTTCCTTGGATACTCTCTAACTCAAAAAGGGTACAAATGTTATTCTCCAACCAATAACAAATTTTACACTAACATGGATGTCTCTTCCTTTAAACATGTGTCATTTTATCCCAAATCTCATGTTCAAGGGGAAAGAATGAATGAACACCAAGTTTAGGAATTCTTTCTTGAGTCTATGCTGTTAGCATACTCAGAGTCACCAAGTTCTTCTTAACCCGTGCTTGTGCCTAAAGACTATATACAAGACTTGTCCGCACCATGCATGTTCAGTCATCAGTCCAAACCACAAATGTTTCTTCTCCCGTGCTTGCTCAATTTGTGGCTCCACAACTTGCTCATGAGAATTTCAATTCTACATTAAGAGGAGAAAGAGATAGAAGCTAGAGCACAAATAACAACCAATATGTGGCCAAGATATCGACTCAATTTCAAGTCCACATGAAGAAAACATAGGTACGGATGACTCAATTTCAAGTCCACATGAAGAAAACATAGGTACGGATAAGTCAAGAAGAGATGTGCCAATTCCCAACATTGATGACTCTACCATGTTGATTGCATTGAGGAAGGGTGTTAGGAGATATAGGACATCCAATTGGGAATTATGATACTTATGAAGGGATATCACCATCTTATCGAGCATTTGTTACTTCTCTTGATCATACCTAGATTCCTAGCACAATACAAGAGGGAATTACAAAATTCGGAGTAGAAGAATGCAATATAAGATGAGATTGATGCACTTGAGACGAGTGGAACATGGACTCTTACTAGGGGTGCAACCAAGTCAAGCAGGCTCGCGAGCCGGCTCGAACTCAACTCGGTAACTGGCTCGACGAGTCGAGCTTTTCGAGCTGGCGAGTCGAGCTCAAACACCATTTCGAGCTCGATGGCTTATCGAGCTCGAGCTGGACCAGACCTCCGACTCGGCTCGTAGGCTCGTCGAGTAGCTCACGTGTGTGAGTGGGCGGGAAAAAAATTTTGGGTAGCTGCAACTCTACGAGCGGGAATTTATATCTCAACAACATACGCGATCTTAACGAGTTCTGTATGCTAGATCTCAACAACAGGCTTGCCCTTTTTAACGGTGGCCATGACCATGTTGCTAACGCAGGCAGATGGGAGGCGATTAAGGCGTCCATTGATTCCCTTCACGGAGATGATGCATAGGTTCTTTGCACCAGTGTTGTCGGCATAGTTCACGGTGACGGCCACCGGCAAACCCAGCGACATCCGGAACTTATTTCCAGCTGAACCTCTGCGTCCTGAAATCGTCAGCAAATAAAATAAAAGTCAATTCAGTATCACTGCCATTGAATACAGATCTGAGAATACTTTCGGAGATGGATCGAAGAAATGTAGATATGAAGGAAGAGGAGCTAGGAAGAAAATGAGATACTCCAGATGCTAGATCGCAAAGGCGAACGCGATCTTGACGGCAGACGCGACGACGAGCTTTGGACTCGACAGCGGCCGTGACGACGAGCTCGGGACTCGACGGCGGACACAATGACGAGCTCGGGAATCTAGATCTCAACGACAGACGCGATCTTGACGAGCTCCAGATTCTAGATCTCAACGGCGGACGCCATAATGAGCTTGGGACTCGACGGCGGCCACAATGACGATCTCTAGACTCGACGGCGGACGCAATGACGAGCTCGGGAATCTAGATCTCGACGACGAACGCGATCTTGACGTCGCGATTGGATCAGATCCAGTGGATCTTGACTGCAAACACGAATGCTAAGTCGACAACGGATAAGCGGAGCCGATGGCGAGCTCGTGACGACGAAGGAGTTCGCAATGGAGCTCGACTGAGCTCGACAAGCAACTTTGGACGGAGTTCGCAGTAGAGCTCGACTGAGCTCGACGAGCCGCTCGACATATGAGACGAGTCGAGCTCGAGCTCGGATTTTGAGCTCGAACTCGGCTCGAGCTCGATATTTGAAAGTCGAGCTCGACTTGAACGCTGCCTGGCTCGAGCTCGACTGACTCGTTTGCACCCCTAACTCTTACTGATTT